AAATAAATTGTTTAAAATATTTAATTTAAAAAAGGAACTGGTTTAAACATGAATTTTATAAATCTCAATTCTTTTCGGACAGGCTTAAGATTTTTACTTACTGCCTCCTGTTTCCTTGCAGCCCCTAAAAGCCTGCTTTCTTATTATTATTTTCTTTAAGCCTAAAGTATTTACTTACTTCAGGTTTTTCATGTAATGTATCTCTTTGTTAAACATATACCTCAAATGGATTTATTAGAGTATAAGTTGTAGAAGTTATTTTAGCACAAATCCTTAAGGGGATTTTTAGGGATGGGATAATAAACTGCAAAAAATCCCTTAAGAAAATTATTTACTGTTACTTTCGTTATAATACTCTCTATATATTTATTGTGTTTTTATTTGTCTATTTGTTATTTGCTGAACGTGTTTTAGTAGTACATTAACAACATAAATGTAGTGTATTTTTAAACTGTTTATACAACATTATTTTAAAAGCATATTCTAAGGCAGTTGCTGTATAATAAAACATGTGTTTTGGTTCGTTGTATTTAAAAGGAAAATTTGCTTTGTTAAAATATGTATTTGTATGGGCCTGTAAATGTATTTTTTTTGTATTTTGCCAAATTCATGTATTGTTTCGTTAGTTGTTTTCTTATTTGAGATTTTGTGTAAAAGTAACAGCTGTTGGTGGTTGGATAACAATAGGTAGAATAATACACAAAAACGATAATAAGTGTATTTTGGTGCCGGAAAGCTACACCCATTTCATTTCTAGTTCTGATCTAGTTTTGATCTAGTTCTGTTCTAGTTCTGTTCTAGTTCTGTTCTAGTACTGCTCTAGTTCTGTTCTAGTTCTGTTCTAGTTCTGTTCTAGTTCTGTTCTAGTTCTGTTCTAGTTCTAGTTATGTTCTAGTTCTGTTCTAGTTATGTTCTAGTTCTGTTCTAGTTCTGTTCTAGTTCTGTTCTAGTTCTGTTCTAGTTCTGTTCTAGTTCTGTTCTAGTTCTGTTCTAGTTCTGTTCTAGTTCTGTTCTAGTTCTGTTCTAGTTCTGTTCTAGTTCTGTTCTAGTTCAGTTCTAGTTCTGTTCTAGTTCTGTTCTAGTTCTGTTCTAGTTCTGTTCTAGTTCTGTTCTAGTTCTGTTCTGTTCTAGTTCTGTTCTAGCTCTGTTTTAGTTGTCTTCTAGTTGTGTTCTAGTTGTGTTCTAGTTGTGTTCTAGTTGTATTCTAGTTGTGTTCTAGTTGTATTCTAGTTGTGTTCTAGGTTGTATTTAGTTGTGTTTTAGTTGTGTTTTTGTTGTGGTTCTTGTTGTGTTCTAGTTGTGTTTTAGTTGTGTTCTAGTTGTGTTCTAGTTGTGTTCTAGTTGTGTTCTAGTTCTGTTCTAGTTCTGTTCTAGTTCTGTTCTAGTTCTGTTCTAGTTCTGTTCTAGTTCTGTTCTAGTTCTGTCTAGTTCTGTTCTGGTTGTGTTCTGGTTGTGTTCTAGTCGTGTTCTAGTTCTGTTCTAGTTCTGTTCTAGTTCTGTTCTAGTTCTGTTCCAGTTCTGTTCTAGTTCTGTTCTGGTTCTAGTTCTGTTCTAGTTCTGTTCTAGTTCTGTTCTAGTTCTAGTTCTTTCTAGTTCTGTTCTAGTTCTAGTTCTGTTCTAGTTCTGTTCTAGTTCTGTTCTGTTGTTCTGTTCCGTTCTAGTTCTTGTTCTGTTTTGTTCTAGTTCTGTTCTAGGTCTGTTCTAGTTCTGTTCTAGTTCTGTTCTAGTTTCTGTTCTAGTTCTGTTCCAGTTCTGTTCTAGTTCTGTTCCAGTTCTGCTCTAGTTCTGTTCCAGTTCTGCTCTAGTTCTGCTCTAGTTCTGCTCTAGTTCTGCTCTAGTTCTGTTCTAGTACAGTTCTAGTTCTGTTCTAGTTCTGTTCTAGTTCTGTTCTAGTTCTGTTCTAGTTCTGTTCTAGTTCTGTTCTAGTTCTGTTCTAGTTCTGTTCTAGTTCTGTTCTAGTTCTGTTCTAGTTCTGTTCTAGTTCTGTTCTAGTTCTGTTCTAGTTCTGTTCTAGTTCTGTTCTAGTTCTGTTCTAGTTCTGTTCTAGTTCTGTTCTAGTTCTGTTCTAGTTCTGTTCTAGTTCTGTTCTAGTTCTGTTCTAGTTCTGTCTAGTTCTGTTCTAGTTTCTGTTCTGTTCTAGTTCTGTTCTAGTTCTAGCTCTGTTGTTAGTTGTCTTCTAGTTGTGTTCTAGTTGTGTTCTAGTTGTGTTCTAGTTGTATTCTAGTTGTGTTCTAGTTGTATTCTAGTTGTGTTCTAGTTGTATTTTAGTTGTGTTTTAGTTGTGTTTTTGTTGTGTTCTTGTTGTGTTCTAGTTGTGTTTAGTTTGTGTTCTAGTTGTGTTCTAGTTGTGTTCTAGTTCTTGTTCTAGTTCTGTTCTAGTTCTGTTCTAGTTCTGTTCTAGTTCTGTTTCCAGTTCTGTTCTAGTTCTGTTCTAGTTCTGTTCTAGTTCTGTTCTAGTTCTGCTTTTCTAGTTCTGTTCTAGTTCTGTTCTAGTTCTAGTTCTGTTCTAGTTCTGTTCTAGTTCTGTTCTAGTTCTGTTCTAGTTCTGTTCTGTTGTTCTGTTCCGTTCTTGTTCTGTTTTGTTCTAGTTCTGTTCTAGGTTGTCTAGTTCTGTTCTAGTTCTGTTCTAGTTCTGGTCTAGTTCTGTTCTAGTTCTGTTCCAGTTCTGTTCTAGTTCTGTTCCAGTTCTGCTCTAGTTCTGTTCCAGTTCTGCTCTAGTTCTGCTCTAGTTCTGCTCTAGTTCTGTTCTAGTACAGTTCTAGTTCTGTTCTAGTTCTGTTCTAGTTCTGTTCTAGTTCTGTTCTAGTTCTGTTCTAGTTCTGTTCTAGTTCTGTTCTAGTTCTGTTCTAGTTCTGTTCTAGTTCTGTTCTAGTTCTGTTCTAGTTCTGTTCTAGTTCTGTCTATTCTGTTCTAGTTCTGTTCTAGTTCTGTTCTAGTTCTGTTCTAGTTCTGTTTCTAGTTCTGTTCTAGTTCTGTTCTAGTTCTGTTCTAGTTCTGTTCTAGTTCTGTTCTAGTTCTGTTCTAGTTCTGTTCTGTTAGTTCTGTTCTAGTTCTGTTCTGTTCTAGTTCTGTTCTAGTTCTGTTCTAGTTCTAGTTCTGTTCTAGTTCTGTTCTAGTTCTGTTCTAGTTCTGTTCTAGTTCGGTTCTAGTTCTGTTCTAGTTCTGTTCTAGTTCTGTTCTAGTTCTGTTCTAGTTCTGTTTCTAGTTCTGTTCTAGTTCTGTTCTAGTTCTGTTCTAGTTTCTGTTCTAGTTCTGTTCTAAGTTCTGTTCTAGTTCTGTTCTAGTTCTGTTCTAGTTCTGTTCTAGTTCTGTTCTGTGTTCTAGTTCTGTTCTAAACTCTGTTTTAAGTTGTCTTCTAGTTGTGTTCTAGTTGTGTTCTAGTTGTGTTGTCTAGTTGTATTCTAGTTGTGTTCTAGTTGTATTCTAGTTGTGTTCTAGTTGTATTTTAGTTGTGTTTTAGTTGTGTTTTTGTTGTGTTCTTGTTGTGTTCTAGTTGTGTTTTAGTTGTGTTCTAGTATGTGTTCTAGTTGTGTTCTAGTTGTGATCTAGTTCTGTTCCTAGTTCTGTTCTAGTTCTGTTCTAGTTCTGTTTTCTAGTTCTGTTCTAGTTCTGTTCTGGTTGTGTTCTAGTCTGTTCTAGTTCTGTTCTAGTTCTGTTCTAGTTCTGTTCTAGTTCTGTTCTAGTTCTGTTCTAGTTCTGTTCTAGTTCTGTTCTAGTTCTGTTCTAGTTCTGTTCTAGTTCTGTTCTAGTTCTGTTCTAGTTCTGTTCTAGTTCTCTAGTTCTAGTTCTAGTTCTGTTCTAGTTCTGTTCTAGTTCTGTTCTAGTTCTGTTCTGTTTCTGTTTCGTTCTAGTTCTTGTTCTGTTTTGTTCTACTAGTTCTGTTCTAGTCTGTTCTAGTTCTGTTCTAGTTCTGTTCTAGTTCTGTTCCAGTTCTGTTCTAGTTCTGTTCCAGTTCTGCTAGTTCTGTTCCAGTTCTGCTCTAGTTCTGCTCTAGTTCTGTTCTAGTACAGTTCTAGTTCTGTTCTAGTTCTGTTCTAGTTCTGTTCTAGTTCTGTTCTAGTTCTGTTCTAGTTCTGTTGTTCTAGTTCTGTTCTAGTTCTGTTCTAGTTCTGTTCTAGTTCTGTTCTAGTTCTGTTCTAGTTCTGTTCTAGTTCTGTTCTAGTTCTGTTTCTAGTTCTGTTCTAGTTCTGTTCTGTTCTAGTTCTGTTCTAAGTTCTGTTCTAGTTCTGTTCTAGTTCTGTTCTAGTTCTGTTCTGTTCTAGTTCTGTTCTAGTTCTGTTCTAGTTCTGTTCTAGTTCTGTTCTAGTTCTGTTCTAGTTCTGTTCTAGTTCTGTTCTAGTTCTGTTCTAGTTCTGTTCTAGTTCTGTTCTAGTTCTGTTCTAGTTCTGTTCTAGTTCTGTTCTAGTTCTGTTCTAGTTCTGTTCTAGTTCTGTTCTAGTTCTGTTCTAGTTCTGTTCTAGTTCTGTTCTAGTTCTGTTCTAGTTCCTGTTCTAGTTCTGTTCTAGTTCTGTTCTAGTTCTGTTCTAGTTCTGTTTTAGTTCTGTTCTAGTTCTGTTCTAGTACTATTCTACTTCTGCTCTATTTCTGCTCTATTTCTGTTTTAGTTCTGTTCTACTTCTGTTGTAGTTCCTTCTAGTTCTGTTCTAGTTCTAGTTTATTTCCTTATGGAAACAGTGTATTTTACTCATAGAAATCAGGTTTTTGTGTTAAAAGTAGCTTCTGCTATTGAATATTAAACTAGATTAAATATTCTTTGTATTTATTTGCCGATTTGTTAACAAAATGTATTCAAAAAGCAAACCTATTCAATATTTAACAGATTTAGCAATATGACTCCTAAAAGTAGGCAATAAGTTTTAATATCTTTTTCAAAAAGATAATAGCACAAAGAGGGTTAAAGAGAGATTAATATAAATTTATTTAAATTTATTAGGGATTTAAGTCAAATGTCCCGACTGTTTATCCGTGCTACAGAAAAGATAATTTGATGAAAAATGTTTGACTTAAATATAAATTTATTTTTATATAACTATTAAACAAAATAATACACATATTACTTAATTGTTCAAGAAAAAAAAAAAGTAAAATATTTACAAAGGATATTTTAAAACTAAAATAAACTTAATTATATAAAGGCAAGAATATAAAATCATTTGGTTAAATCCGATAATCTTAAAACTAAACCACCTCTAACCTTTATTTAAAGTACTACAACTTAAATGCTACTAAATTATTATAAAAAACAGTCACTAGAATTTCAAAAAAGTATAATATTCTATTTACAAACAAACTACAAACTTTTTCTATTTACGAAAAATGATCTTAAGCAACCGTATAACCGGTGCCTCAAATACCACCGATATGAAAAAGGCCACTATGAAAGAGACCACCGCATTTCCCAGAAATATAATCAATATAAAAACATTACTCAGATGAATTGTGCCATCCATGCGATAGGCTGTGATTAGCATTATAACGGGATGTATTAAATAGGTACAATAGGTAAGACGTGATAAGGGCCATAGGCAGCGGTAGGATAGTATGCGATTCATGGTGGGCGAAAGATTCCAACAGCAGGATAAGACCACCCAAATTAAACCGAAGCCAAAGGCTAAAATTAAGAAACTTTTCTTAGAGAACATTTTACACAAAAAATACCTTCCTTACCTGTATGACCTATGCTCACATAAAACGCTGTGGTCACCTCATTAAGTTCCCCCTGCCACACCCCAAATATTATCACTATAATCAAGCCCAAACTCAAAACCCACAGTAAATTATTTACCCGTTGCGATATTTTAGGGGGAGAGCGTACTTTGAATATTATATAACCAGCCAACATGCCTGTAAAGAAAAATTTTTATTAAATATATTTTTTATAATTTTTACTTCTCTAACTGACCCATTATATAGGGACCCACTCTTTGCCATGGTTTGTCATAGAGGAAATCAAATGATTCAAAGGGTTTCGCCACTTTGTGTGTATAGTGATAACGTAGAGATATTAATCCGGATACTCCCCAGGAAGAAACCAGAAAAGTGCAAATAGTAAGGACCATGGTTTTGAAATATCTAGGAAAAAAATTTATCAAAAAAACTATTAGTTGATCTTTTGACCCGATCTGTAGTAGACATAATATTCAGAACTAGAATAGAACTAGAACAGAACAGAACTAGAACAAAACTAGAACAAAACTAGAACAGAACTAGAACAGAACTAGAACAGAACTAGAACAGAACTAGAACAGAACTAGAACAGAACTAGAACAGAACTAGAACAGAACTAGAACAGAACTAGAACGGAACTAGAACTGAACTAGAACAGAACTAGAACAGAACTAGAACAGAACTAGAACAGAACTAGAACAGAACTAGAACAGAACTAGAACAGAACTAGAACAGAACTAGAACAGAACTAGAACAGAACTAGAACAGAACTAGAACAGAACTAGAACAGAACTAGAACAGAACTAGAACAGAACTAGAACAGAACTAGAACAGAACTAGAACAGAACTAGAACAGAACTAGAACAGAACTAGAACAGAACTAGAACAGAACTAGAACAGAACTAGAACAGAACTAGAACAGAACTAGAACAGAACTAGAACAGAACTAGAACAGAACTAGAACAGAACTAGAACAGAACTAGAACAGAACTAGAACAGAACTAGAACAGAACAAGAACAGAACTAGAACAGAACTGGAACAGAACTAGAACTGAGCTAGAACTGAACTAAAACTGAACTAAAACTGAACTAAAACTGAACTAAAACTGAACTAAAACTGAACTAAAACTGAACTAAAACTGAACTAGAACAGAACTAGAACAGAACTAGAACAGAACTAGAATAGAACTAGAATAGAACTAGAACAGAACTAGAACAGAACTAGAACAGAACTAGAACAGAACTAGAACAGAACTAGAACAGAACTTAGAACAGAACTAGAACAGAACTAGAACAGAACTAGAACAGAACTAGAACAGAACTAGAACAGAACTAGAGCAGAACAGAACTAGAACAGAACTAGAACAGAACTAGAACAGAACTAGAATAGAACTAGAACAACAGAACAGACAGAACTAGAACAGAACTAGAACAGAACTAGAAAGAACTAGAACAGAACTAGAACAGAACTAGAACAGAACTAGAACAGAACTAGAACAGAACTAGAACAGAACTAGAACAGAACTAGAACAGAACTAGAACAGAAACTAGAACAGAACTAGAACAGACTAGAACTAGAACTAGAACAGAACTAGAACTAGAACAGAACTAGAACAGAACTAGAACAGAACTAGAACAGACTAGAACAGAACTAAACAGAACTAGAACAGAACTAGAACAGAACTAGAACAGAACTAGAACAGAACTAGAACAGAACTAGAACAGAACTAGAACAGAACTAGGACTGAGCTAGAACTGAAATAGAACTGAACTATTACTGAACTATAACTGAACTAGAACAGACTAGAACAGAACTAGAACAGAACTAGAACAGAACTAGAACAGAACTAGAACAGAACTAGAACAGAACTAGAACAGAACTAGAACAGAACTAGAACAGAAACTAGAACAGAACTAGAACAGAACTATAACAGAACTGAACAGAACTAGAACTAGAACGAACTAGAACAGAACTAGAACAGAACTAGAGCAGAACTAGAGCAGAACAGAACTAGAGCAGAACAGAACTAGAACAGAACTAGAACAGAACTAGAATAGAACTAGAACAGAACAGAACAGAACTAGAAACAGAACTAGAACAGAACTAGAACAGAACTAGAACAGAACTAGAACAGAACTAGAACAGAACTAGAACAGAACTAGAACAGAACTAGAACAGAACTAGAACAGAACTAGAACAGAACTAGAACAGAACTAGAACTAGAACAGAACTAGAACTAGAACAGAACTAGAACAGAACTAGAACAGAACTAGACAGAACTAGAACTGAGCTAGAAACTGAAATAGAACTGAACTATTACTGACAACTGAATAGAACGAACTAGAACAGAACTAGACAGAACTAGAACAGAACTAGAACAGAACTAGAACAGAACTAGAACAGAACTAGAACAGAACTAGAACAGAACTAGAACAGAACTAGAACAGAACTAGAACAGAACTAGAACAGAACTAGAACCGAACTACTAGAACAGAACTAGAACAGAACTAGAACAGAACTAGAACAGAACTAGAACAGAACTAGAACAGAACTAGAACAGAACTAGAACAGAACTAGAACAGAACTAGAACAGAACTAGAACAGAACTAGAACAGAACTAGAACAGAACTAGAACAGAACTAGAACAGAACTAGAACAGAACTAGAACAGAACTAGAACAGAACTAGAACAGAACTAGAACAGAACTAGAACAGAAATAGAACAGAACTAGAGCTAGAGCTAGCATTCTACTAAGAATTTATTCAATAAAATTGTCAGTTAAGTCCTTTCTCAAAAACCTTATTAAATTCTATATTCTTTTGGAAATTTTTCAATTATTTTCATCTTCGAGCTCTTACCTAGCTGACAGTATCAATAACAAGGTAGCCATTATATAGAATTGCATATCATTAGCCATGTACCAGCTCCATATCATACAGATTTCAGTTAATGGATAAAAATTATTTATATACAATATGTTGCGCCACCAATATTTGCTGCAGGTGTTTGGTAGAACAGTGGGCTGGAAGACCGAACCATCGAAAGTTTGTCTAAGGAATAAATTAAGAAAAAATAGGACATTATTTCCTAAAGAATTGGAATAAGGTTATGATGCTTGGCAATGAAATTTTTTCAAATATTTCATATATTTTTTGTTATTTTGAACCACTGTCCGTTTTAAACAAACATCATCATGAATACATTTCATTTTCAATTTTATGCTTTTTGGCGCATACTCACCTTAAGGCAAAATCATTGAAAAATATCACAAACAAATAAGCGGGCGTTAAACGTATGTATCGGTACACCACCAATATGACGGTATCGACAAAGCCTTTTTTCATATATTTGGTTGAATCCTCGGCATCCTTTTTCATGCTCTTCAAATATAATAATGTTACCAAAAAACCACTTATAAAGAAAAATGTATCAACGGAAAATGTGGCATTGCCAACAATTTGATACCAAGGTGAACGTTCGACCATGATGCGTCTGAACTATGAATACGAATTGAAATAGAAATAGAAATTATAAAAATAGTTAAATATTTGTGATGTCAAAGCCAGATAGTTAGAATCAAAATAAAATTGAACAAAAATAGAAATCCTTTGCGTACAAGGTCATTTTATGTTTATTTTGTGTATAAGGAAATGTTGTTGTGTTTTACCGGAAACGGAAATCTATTTCTGTTCTTAGAAAATACAATTTATTATCGTTTTTTTTTTTTTTTTTTTGTCTATTTACTCGATTTTCTCCAATATTAAACATTTGCAAGTATGTGTGCACCATTATGGTCCATAAAACGGAGATGACGCGTAAACCATGAACACAGGATGTTTGTGTCTGTAACAGAGAGAGAGAGAGAGAGCGAGAGAGAAGGATGAAAAGAATAATTGTTTTCGAAGAAAAGATAATTGATAAAAGTTTTATCAATTATTTTTTTTATCATAAAACACATACATACGTTTATTTTTTAAATAAATTAAATGAAGATACTATATATACATATCTATAGCCTATTCTATAGATTAGTCTGTAGACTGATCTGTAAATTAGTTTATATACTAGTCTATAGACTGATCTATTGACTAGTCAATATACTGTTTTATCGACTAGTCTAAAGACTAATCTATAAACCGGACTAAAGACTGATCTATAGACTAGTGTAAAGACTGTTCTATAGATTGATCTATAAACTGGGGTATAGATTGATCTATGAATTAGTCTATAGACGGATCTATAGACTGATCTATAGATTGGTCTATAGACTGATCTATAGACTGGTCTATAGACTGATCTATAGACTGGTCTATAGACTGATCTATAGACTGGTCTATAGACTGATCTATATACTGGTCTATAGACTGATCTATAGAATGGTCTGTAGAATGATCTATAGACTAGTCTATAGAATGATCTATAGGCTAGTGTATAGACTGATCTATAGACCGATCTATAGACTAGTCTATAGACTGATCTATAGATTAGTACATAGACTGATCTATAAACCGGACTAAAGACTAATTTATAGACTAGTGTAAAGGCTGTTCTATAGATTGATCTATATACTGGTCTATAGATATTAGTCTATAGATTGATCTATAGACTGATCTATAGATTGATCTATAGACTGATCTATAGATTGGTCTATAGACTGATCTATAGACTGATCTATAGACTGGTCTATAGACTGGTCTATAGACTGATCTATAGACTGGTCTATAGACTGATCTATATACTGGTCTATAGACTGATCTATAGAATGGTCTATAGAATGATCTATAGACTAGTCTATAGAATGATCTATAGGCTAGTGTATAGACTGATCTATAGACCGATCTATAGACTAGTCTATAGACTGATCTATAGATTAGTACATAGACTGATCTATAAACCGGACTAAAGACTGATCTATAGACTAGTGTAAAGACTGTTCTATAGATTGATCTATAAACTGGGGTATAGATTGATCTATGAATTAGTCTATAGACGGATCTATAGACTGATCTATAGATTGGTCTATAGACTGATCTATATACTGGTCTATAGACTGATCTATAGAATGGTCTATAGGCTGATCTATAGAATAGTCTATAGAATGATCTATAGACTAGTCTATAGAATGATCTATAGGCTAGTGTATAGACTGATCTATAGACCGATCTATAGACTAGTCTATAGACTGATCTATAGATTAGTACATAGACTGATCTATAAACCGGACTAAAGACTAATTTATAGACTAGTGTAAAGGCTGTTCTATAGATTGATCTATATACTGGTCTATAGATATTAGTCTATAGATTGATCTATAGACTGATCTATAGATTGATCTATAGACTGATCTATAGATTGATCTATAGACTGATCTATAGATTGGTCTATAGACTGATCTATAGACTGATCTATAGACTGGTCTATAGACTGGTCTATAGACTGATCTATAGACTGACCTATAGACTGGTCTATAGACTGATCTATAGACTAGTCTATAGAATGATCTATAGACTAGTGTATAGAATGATCTGTAGACTAGTCTATAGAATGATCAAGAGGCTAGTGTATAGACTGATCTATAGACAGATCTATAGACTAGTCTATAGACTGATCTATAGATTAGTACATAGACTGATCTATAAACCGGACTAAAGACTAATTTATAGACTAGTGTTAAGACTGTTCTATAGATTGATCTATAAACTGGGGTATATATTGATCTATAAATCAGTCTACAGATTGATCTATAGACGGATCTATAGACCGATCTATAGACTGGTCTATAGACTGATCTATAGACTGGTCTATAGTCTGGTCTATAGACTGATCTATAGACTGACCTATAGACTGGTCTATAGACTGATCTATAGACTAGTCTATAGAATGATCTATAGACTAGTGTATAGAGTGATCTATAGACTAGTCTATAGAATGATCTAGAGGCTAGTGTATAGACTGATCTATAGACTAGTCTATAGACTGATCTATAGATTAGTACATAGACTGATCTATAAACCAGACTAAATACTAATTTATAGACTAGTGTAAAGACTGTTCTATAGATTGATCTATAAATCGGTCTATAGATTGATCTATAAATCAGTCTATAGATTGATCTATAAATCAGTATATATATTGATCTATAGACTGTTCTATAGACTGATCTATAGACTGTTCTATATTCTGGTCTATAGACTAATCAGACTGGTCTACAGGCTGGTCTATAAACTAATCTATAGACTAATCTATAGACTCATGTTTAGACTGGTCTGTGGATTAATCTATTGACTGGTCTATAGATTGATCTATAGACTAGTCTATAGAATGATCTATAGATTAGTCTATAAAATGATCTATAGGATAGTGTATAGAATGATATAGAGACTAGTCTATAGACAAGATCTATATATTAATCTATAGACAGATATATAGCCTGTTCAATAGACAAGTCTAGAGACTGGTCTGTAGACAGGTATATAGACTGATCTACAGACTTGTTTATAGACCGTTCTATAGACAAATCTATAGACCATTCTACAGATTGGTCTATAGTCTATTCTATAAATTGATCTATAGACTGATTAAAGACTGATCTATAGATTAATCTATAGCCTGATCTATAGCCTGTTCAATAGACAAGTCTAGAGACTGATCTGCATATAGGTATATAGACTGATCTACAGACTTGTTGATAGACCGTTCTAGAGACAAATATATAGACTATTGTACAGATTGGGCTATAGTCTCTTCTATAAATTGATCTATAGACTTGACTAGTCTATAGACTGGTCTCTAAACTAGTCTTTAGACTATTCTATAGACTGGTCTATAGAGTGATCTGAAGACTGGTATATAGACTGATCTATAGATTGATCTATAGACTAGTCTATAGACTGATCAATAGAATAGTCTGATCTATAGGTTGATCTATGGACTGGTCTATAGATTTGTTTATGGACTGGTCTATAGACTAATCTTAAGATTGATCTATAGACTAATCTATAAACTTGTCTATAGAATAGTCTGTTGACTGATCTGGTCTTTACTCATATCTATAGACTGATCTATAGACTATTTTCTTAACTGATGTATAGACTATTCTATAGACTATTCTATATAGACTGATCTATAGACTAGTCTATAGACTGATCTGTGGACTAGTCTATACAGTGATCACTAGTCTATACAGTATTCACTAGTCTATAGACTGATCTATAGATTAGTGTATGCACTGATATATAGACTGATCTATTTATTATAGATCTTCGGTTATAAATCTTATTATGACTTTGAACTCACCTCTTTCTGTTGATCTATACTCAAAATAGTGCTGGCATTAGTTTGAAAGGCAAAACACAATAGCAGTTGTTCATGAAGACCTGCAATGAAAATACATTAACATTGCAAAGCCATTTGACTTAAACTTTCTTCAAACTTACCCAAAGGCTGCTTTGTCTCATACGTGCCGCCCGCTGCCGCATTATTTGTAGTCTCTATACGATATTCCACATCTTGAGCATGACTCGAGCAACCATTTCCATTCGTATTCATATCCTGTGGCATATTGTATTGTGTTTGAGAACTGGAAGATTTCTTGCCATTCACTTCTGTTTCCATTTCCACAACATTATTGTTCTCATTTAGATTGGACATTTGATATAATTCAAAGGTTTTGCCATTATCACTGGTTATATGATGGATTACAGGCTGCTCTATTTTAGAACCGCTAATTACCGCTATGGGAGCTTGATTTATTTGACTCTGTGTAAGTTTAGACTGAAACCAAGTGGCCGCTATTACCAGTAGTATCAATGTTAGCAAAAAACTGGCAAATATTTGAAAACGTAATTCCCGCCAATAACTGTATATACCCGGCACTGTGCGTACTCTTAAGATTTTCACTTGTGCCAACTGAGAGCTATTTAAAGCGATCAGCATTTGCGCATGAGGATCCATTTCAAGAATGTGTTGTACATCGAGGGCAGTACAGGATTTGGGTAAACACTCGCCTATTTGCAAATTAAATTGCAAAAGTTCAGGCAAAGCTAAATTGAAGGTCACTACCGCGGTGTAGAACTCAAATTCGAAATGTTTACGTTTCTCGGGATCTAGCTGGCGATTGAGTTCATAGCAGTTTTGTTTTTGACCCAACCATTTGTCGTTGCCAAAGAATAACTGACCTCTATAGCGACCGGACGAATCATAGGCTAAAGTGGGTGGATACAAATTGCTTATTTATTGTTCATAAAATTTATTTGCTTTTATTTATTGTTATAAATTTAAATTTGTTTAACAATTTTTTTTATAAAATTTCTACATCATTGATTGATGTTTCCAAGAAAAACAAGAATTGGAGCCATTTCGATTGAATTTAGTGAAGCATTAAAATGGTTTTTTAACCCTGAATTGTTAATTGACCGTTAAATTCATTGTTTGTTAAATTTATTATTTGTCTAGATTACTGTCCCCTTCTCTTGTCCTTTTCTTCTACCATAAATTTGAAAAATTTATTTTCAAATTCATTGTCGTTTTATATTTTGTAAAGATTTTTATTCCACACAATTCAATTATTAATCAATTGGAAAACATGCATAATCATGTTTTATGACTATAGACAGATACAAAATGTTCTATTGAATTTTTCATCATAAATCAACTATTAGAGAAAAATAAAATAATAGACAATGATTTATGAAATTATTGCCAAAAAAGGAAGCCTTGGTTTGGTAATGGCCAACGGAAGTATGAACATTTGAAATTTTATTGATGTAGTCACATTTTATTCAATCAATCATGATAATGAGCCAAGAAGTTTTGAAAAACAACATTTAATAACAATAATAAGAATTGACAATATTAAAAGCCGATTAAATAAATTGTATTTAACAAAATATACTCTAATCTATAAGACGGGCTAGAGTCTAGTCTATTGTCAGTAGTTTCTTGTCAAAACTATCGACTGATAGTCTAGTCTATAATATAGTCTATAGTCTAGTCTATAGTTTAGTCCATAGTCTAGTCTATTGACTAGTCTATAGTCTAGTCTATAGTCTAGTCTATTGTCTAGTCTATAGTCTAGTCTATAGTCTACTCTATAGTCTAGTCTATAGTCTAGTCTATAGTCTAGTCCATAGTCTACTCTATAGTCTAGTCTATAGTCTAGTCTATAGTCTAGTCCATAGTCTACTCTATAGTCTAGTCTATAGTCGAGTCTATAGTCTAGTCCATAGTCTAGTCCATAGTCTAGTCCATAGTCTAGTCCATAGTCTAGTCTATAGTCTAGTCCATAGACTAGTCTATAGTCTAGTCTATAGTCTAGTCCATAGTCTAGTCTATAGTGTAGTCTATAGTGTAGTCTATAGTCTAGTCTATAGTGTAGTCTATAGTGTAGTCTATAGTCTAGTCTATAGTCTAGTCTATAGTGTAGTCTATAGTCTAGTCCATAGTCTAGTCTATAGTCTAGTCTATAGTCTAGTCTATAGTCTAGTCTATAGTCTAGTCCATAGTCTAGTCTATAGTCTAGTCTATAGTCTAGTCTATAGTCTAGTCTATAGTATAGTCTTTAGTCTAGTCTATAGTATAGTCTAGTCTATAGTCTAGTCTATAGTCTAGTCTATAGTCTAGTCTATAGTCTATAGTCTAGTCTATAGTCTAGTCTATAGTCTAGTCTATAGTCTAGTCTATAGTCTAGTCTATAGTCTAGTCTATAGTCTATAGTCTAGTCTATAGTCTAGTCTATAGTCTAGTCTATAGTCTAGTCTATAGTCTAGTCTATAGTCTAGTCTATAGTCTAGTCTATAGTCTAGTCTATAGTCTAGTCTATAGTCTAGTCTATAGTCTAGTCTATAGTCTAGTCTATAGTCTAGTCTATAGTCTAGTCTATAGTCTAGTCTATAGTCTATAGTCTAGTCTATAGTCTAGTCTATAGTCTAGTCTATAGTCTATCTATAGTGTATATAGTCTAGTCTATAGTCTAGTCTATAGTCTAGTCTAGTCTAGTCTATAGTCTAGTCTATAGTCTAGTCTATAGTCTAGTCTATAGTCTAGTCTATAGTCTAGTCTATAGTCTAGTCTATAGTCTAGTCTATAGTCTAGTCTATAGTCTAGTCTATAGTCTAGTCTATAGTCTAGTCTATAGTCTAGTCTATAGTCTAGTCTATAGTCTAGTCTATAGTCTAGTCTATAGTCTAGTCTATAGTCTAGTCTATAGTCTAGTCTATAGTCTAGTCTATAGTCTAGTCTATAGTCTAGTCTATAGTCTAGTCTATAGTCTAGTCTATAGTCTAGTCTATAGTCTAGTCTATAGTCTAGTCTATAGTCTAGTCTATAGTCTAGTCTATAGTCTAGTCTATAGTCTAGTCTATAGTCTAGTCTATAGTCTAGTCTATAGTCTAGTCTATAGTCTAGTCTATAGTCTAGTCTATAGTCTAGTCTATAGTCTAGTCTATAGTCTAGTCTATAGTCTAGTCTATAGTCTAGTCTATAGTCTAGTCTATAGTCTAGTCTATAGTCTAGTCTATAGTCTAGTCTATAGTCTAGTCTATAGTCTAGTCTATAGTCTAGTCTATAGTCTAGTCTATAGTCTAGTCTATAGTCTAGTCTATCGTCTAGTCTATAGTCTAGTCTATAGTCTAGTCTATAGTCTAGTCGATAGTCTAGTCTATAGTCTAGTCTATAGTCTAGTCTATAGTCTAGTCTATAGTCTAGTCTATAGTCTAGTCTATAGTCTAGTCTATAGTCTAGTCTATAGTCTAGTCTATAGTCTAGTCTATAGTCTAGTCTATAGTCTAGTCTATAGTCTAGTCTATAGTCTAGTCTATAGTCTAGTCAATAGTCTAGTCTATAGTCTAGTCTATAGTCTAGTCTATAGTCTAGTCTATAGTCTAGTCTATAGTCTAGTCTATAGTCTAGTCTATAGTCGTCTATAGTCTAGTCTATAGTCTAGTCTATAGTCTAGTCATAGCCAGTCTATAGTCTAGTCTATAGTCTAGTCTATAGTCTAGTCTATAGTCTAGTCTATAGTCTAGTCTAGTCTAGTCTATAGTCTAGTCTATAGTTAGTCTATGTCTAGTCTATAGTCTAGTCTATAGTCTAGTATATAGTCTAGTCTAGTCTAGTCTATAGTCAGTCTATAGTTAGTCTATAGTCTAGTCTATAGTCCAGTCTATAGTCTAGTCTATAGTCTAGTCTATAGTCTAGTCTATAGTCTAGTCTAGTCTAGTCTATAGTCTAGTCTAGTCTATAGTCTAGTCTAGTCTAGTCTAGTCTAGTCTAGTAGTCTAGCTAGTCTAGTCTAGTCTAGACTAGTCTAGTCTAGTCTAGTCTATAGTAGTCTAGTCTATAGTCTAGTCTAGTCTATAGTCTAGTCTAGTCTAGTCTATAGTCTAGTCTAGTCTATAGTCTAGTCTATAGTCTAGTCTATAGTCTAGTCTATTGTCTAGTCTATAGTCTAGTCTATAGTCTACTCTATAGTCTAGTCTATAGTCTAGTCTATAGTCTAGTCTATAGTCTAGTCTATAGTCTAGTCTATAGTCTAGTCCATAGTCTACTCTATAGTCTAGTCTATAGTCTAGTCCATAGTCTAGTCCATAGTCTAGTCTATAGTCTAGTCTATAGTCTAGTCTATAGTCTAGTCCATAGTCTACTCTATAGTCTAGTCTATAGTCGAGTCTATAGTCTAGTCCATAGTCTAGTCTATAGTCTAGTCTATAGTCTAGTCCATAGTCTAGTCTATAGTGTAGTCTATAGTCTAGTCCATAGTCTAGTCTATAGTCTAGTCTATAGTCTAGTCTATAGTCTAGACTATGGACTAGACTATAGACTAGACTATAGACTAGACTATGGACTAGACTATAGACTAGACTATAGACTAGACTATAGACTAGACTATAGACTAGACTACAGACTAGACTATAGACTAGACTATAGACTAGACTATAGTCTATAGTCTAGTCTAGTCTAGTCTAGTCTAGTCTAGTCTAGTCTAGTCTAGTCTAGTCTAGTAGTCTAGTCTAGTCTAGTCTAGTCTAGTCTAGTCTAGTCTATTCTAGTCTATAGTCTAGTCTAGTCTAGTCTATAGTCTAGTCTAGTCTAGTCTAGTCTATAGTCTAGTCCATAGTCTAGTCTAGTCTAGTCTAGTCTAGTCTAGTCTAGTCTATAGTCTAGTCTATAGTCTAGTCTATAGTCTAGTCTATAGTCTAGTCTATAGTCTAGTCTATAGTCTAGTCTATAGTCTAGTCTATAGTCTAGTCTATAGTCAAGTCTATAGTCTAGTCTATAGTCTAGTCTATAGTCTAGTCTATAGTCTAGTCTATAGTCTAGTCTATAGTCTAGTCTATAGTTTAGTCTATAGTCTAGTCTATAGTTTAGTCTATAGTCTAGTCTATAGTCTAGTCTATAGTCTAGTCTATAGTCTAGTCTATAGTCTAGTCTATAGTCTAGTCTATAGTCTAGTCTATAGTCTAGTCTGTAGTCTAGTCTATAGTCTAGTCTATAGTCTAGTCTATAGTATAGTCTATAGTCTAGTCTATAGTCTATAGTCTAGTCTATAGTCTAGTCTATAGTCTAGTCTAGTCTTCTATAGTCTAGTCTATAGTCTAGTCTATAGTCTAGTCTATAGTCAAGTCTATAGTCTAGTCTATAGTCTAGTCTATAGTCTAGTCTATAGTCTAGTCTGTAGTCTAGTCTATAGTCTAGTCTATAGTCTAGTCTATAGTATAGTCTATAGTCTAGTCTATAGTCTAGTCTATAGTCTAGTCTATAGTCTAGTCTATAGTCTAGTATATAGTCTAGTCTATAGTCTAGTATATAGTCTAGTCTATAGTCTAGTCTATAGTCTAGTCTATAGTCTAGTCCATAGTCTAGTCTATAGTCTAGTCTATAGTCTAGTTTATAGTCTAGTCTATAGTCTAGTCTAGTCTATAGTCTAGTTTATAGTCTAGATCATAGTCTAGTCTATGACCTACTTTATAGCATAGTCTTCAGTGCAATCTATGATCTAGTCTAGTTTTAGTCTAGTCTATAGTCTGAAATCTAGCCTACGGTCTAATCTATATTCTAGTATATAGACTAGACTATAGTCTAGTATATAGACTAGTCTATAGTCTAGTGTATAGACTAGTCTATAGTCTAGTGTATAGACTAGTCTATAGTTTAGTATATAGACTAGTCTATAGTCTAGTATGTAGACTAGTCTATAGTCTAGTCTATAGACTATTCTATAGTCTAGGCTATGGTCTAGTCTATATACTAGTCTATAGTCTCGTCTACAGTCTCGTCTATAGTCTAGTCTGTTGTATAGATTATAGTCTAGTCTATAGTCTAGTATATAGACTAGTCTTTAGCAGTCTATAGTCTATTCTAGACATTGTTCTTTAATCTAGTCTTAGTCTGATTTATCGTCTAATCTATGTTGTGAGCTCCAGTCTTTACGTATTGCCTTGTTTAAAACCATACCTACATACTTTCTGGTCTAAAGAAAATATAAAATTAAATTTTCTACTCACCCCTTTGTGCCCAATGATAGTTTCCATGCAGCGCTGTCAAATAGGCCTGCAATTCGAGACCGCAACCGGTAGAAACTTTATTTCTTATATCCGAAGGCTGCCAATAGAAATGATCATACAAATTTGTTAAGATCTGAAAAACATTAGCCATTTGACGACTCTCTGCTGTAGCATTGTGCTCGGTAGTATCAGGAGGCGTTAAATAATGATCTAAACTGTTGTGATTATTTAAGCCCTTATGCAAGTCCTCGTGCTTTAGCAACTCACGGCCTTTTTTAATAGATTTTGATTTCATTATCTTGAATATATGAGGACTAACAGTGACCACATAGGAGGAGGGTAAGGTAGAGGGAGTCAGAATCGCTGTTGTGCTAGAAATGGAGCTGGGAGAAGAAGATTTTATGGCAGACTCCATAGTGCTGGCTACAAAGTCCACTTGGACATTTAAATCGTCTTGTAGGGAATCTGAATCGGGAGTCTTTATTATCTCCGAATAGGTTAAGGTGGAAACATCTGCTATAGTGGGGGCATCCTTTAACAATAGTTTCTCTTCATTGCTTAAATCTTTTTTCTTATAGGCCTCATGTTCCAAATCCTCTAAGTCACCTAAGTTGAAATCAAAGATAACAGGATGTAGATCCAAGTCTTTAACGGGTTTAGATTTCTCGTATATAGAAGAAGATTTTTCCAAGGGTGTGTAAGGTTTCTTTTTTACAGGCTTTAGAGGTAATACTTCCGGATTTAAGGGTTTATCTTTTTTGGTAGAAAACCCCTCCTCATGGACCTCATGCAAGATGGTAATATTGCTAGTGGAGGCCAATGTTTCGGGGATTAAAGTTGAGTTTAGTAATTCATTGGCCTGTGAAGAGGGTGTGTGAAACAGCAATATGTTGAGGGCTAGCGTTAGGGCCAGCATAGGACGTTTGGGATTTTTGAAGAACATTTTTTTAACTTTCTTTTAAATACTTTTCTAGACCCTGTCGTATGTTTTTGTAATTTATTTTTGTTTTTGTATTATTTTAATAAAGTTTTATTTTATTTTGAATTATTTCTTAAAAAAATTTGTTAAATTTTTAAAGTTCTTATTATAAAGTAGAAACATTTTCTGAAAGGTTGATATCTAGGATAATGGATATTCTCAGTTGTAAATACATTTAACAGGATTCTGAAATTAAAAAATGTTTATATGTTTTTATCCACTTTTCCAGTTTATTCTTTATTTTTTCTTTTATTGTATTTATTTTTCATTTAATTTGGATTTCCATTTAATTTATTTACATTTAAGTTAAATATCTTTTAATTCCCCTGTTCAAACACATTTTTTAATTTATTTGTTTATTTAACTTTTTTTTTGTTAAATTTATTTATTTATTTCATTTCCTTGTTTATATTTGTTTTCGTGATTTATTTTTGGAGGAAAACATTTACCAGTTTTTTATTTTGGTACGAGTATTTTTTCTCTGCATTTAATCAGGTCTTTATCATCATGCAATAATTGTGTAGAGGGGATGCTACAGTTAAATAGTAGGTCTATAGACTAGACTACAGACTAGACAATAGACTAGACTACACTCTATACTAGACTATAGACTAGACTATAGACTAGACTATAGACTAGCCTATAGACTAGACTATAGACTAGACTATAGACTAGACTATAGACTAGACTATAGACTAGACTATAGACTAGACTATAGACTATAGACTAGACTATAGACTAGACTATAGACTAGACTATAGACTAGACTATAGACTAGACTATAGACTAGACTATAGACTAGACTATAGACTAGACTATAGACTAGACTATAGACTAGACTATAGACTAGACTATAGACCAGACTATAGACTAGACTATAGACTAGACTATAGACTAGACTATAGACTAGCCTATAAACTAGACTATAGACTAGACTATAGACTAGACTATAGACTAGACTATAGACTAGACTATAGACTAGACTATTGACTAGACTATAGACTAGACTATAGACTAGACTATAGACTAGACTATAGACTAGACTATAGACTAGACTATAGACTAGACTATAGACTAGACTGTAGACTAGACTATAGACTAGACTATAGACTAGACTGTAGACTAGACTATAGACTAGACTATAGGACTAGACTATAGACTAGACTATAGACTAGACTATAGACTAGACTATAGACTAGACTATAGACTAGACTATAGACTAGACTATAGACTAGACTATAGACTAGACTATAGACTAGGACTATAGACTAGACTATAGACTAGACTATAGACTAGACTATAGACTAGACTATAGACTAGACTATAGACTAGACTATAGACTAGACTTATAGGACTAGACTATAGACTAGACTATAGACTAGACTATAGACTAGACTATAGACTAGACTATAGACTAGACTATAGACTAGACTATAGACTAGACTATAGACTAGACTATAGACTAGACTATAGACTAGACTATAGACTAGACTATAGACTAGACTATAGACTAGACTATAGACTAGACTATAGACTAGACTATAGACTAGACTATAGACTAGACTATAGACTAGACTATAGACTAGACTATAGACTAGACTATAGACTAGACTATAGACTAGACTATAGACTAGACTATAGACTAGACTATAGACTAGACTATAGACTATACTATAGACTAGACTATAGACTAGACTATAGACTAGACTATAGACTAGACTAGACTATAGACTAGACTATACTAGACTAGACTATATACTAGACTATAGACTAGACTATAGACTAGACTATAGACTAGACTAGACTAGACTATAGACTAGACTATAGACTAGACTATACTAGACTATAGACTAGACTATAGACTAGACTAAACTATAGACTAGACTATCTAGACTATAGACTAAACCGTAGACTAGACTGTAGACTAGACCTTAGACTAGACCATATACTAGTAATACTATACTAGAGACTAGACTGTAGACTAGACTATAGACTAGACTATAGACTAGATTGTAGACTAGACCATAGACTATACTATAGACTAGACTATAGACTATACTATAGACTAGACTATAGAGGAGACTATAGACTAGACTATAGACTAGACTATAGACTAGACTATAGACTAGACTATAGACTAGACTATAGACTAGACTATAGACTAGACTATAGACTAGACTATAGACTAGACTATAGACTAGACTATAGACTAGACTATAGACTAGACTATAGACTAGACTATAGACTAGACTATAGACTAGACTATAGACTAGACTATAGACTAGACTATAGACTAGACTATAGACTAGACTATAGACTAGACTATAGACTAGACTATAGACTAGACTATAGACTAGACTATAGACTAGACTATAGACTAGACTATAGACTAGACTATAGACTAGACTATAGACTAGACTATAGACTAGACTATAGACTAGACTATAGACTAGACTATATTCTAGACTATAGACTAGACTATAGACTAGACTAGACTAGACTATAGACTAGATTATAGACTAGACTATATACTAGACTATAGACTAGACTATAGACTAGACTATAGACTAGACTATAGACTAGACTACTATAGACTAGACTAGACTATAGACTAGACTATAGACTAGACTATAGACTAGACTATAGACTAGACTATAGACTAGACTATAGATTAGACTATAGACTAACTATAGACTAGACTATAAACTAGAATATAGACTAGACTATAGACTATACTGTAGACTAGGCTCTAGACTAGACTATAGACTAGACTATACTATACTATAGACTATAACTAGACTGTAGACTAGACTATAGACTAGACTATAGACTAGACTATAGACTAGACTATAGACTAGACTATAGCCTAGACTATAGACTAGACTATAGACTAGACTATAGACTAGACTATAGACTAGACTATAGACTAGACTATAGACTAGACTATAGACTAGACTATAGATTAGACTATAGACTAGACTATAGACTAGACTATAGACTAGACTATAGACTAGACTATAGACTAGACTATAGACTAGACTATAGACTAGACTATAGACTAGACTATAGACTAGACTATAGACTAGACTATAGACTAGACTATAGACTAGACTATAGACTAGACTATAGACTAGACTATAGACTAGACTATAGACTAGACTATAGACTAGACTATAGACTAGACTATAAACTAGAATATAGGCTAGACTATAGACTATACTGTGGACTAGACGCTAGACTAGACTATAGACTAGAATATAGACTAGACTATAGACTATACTGTGGACTAGATTCTAGACTAGACTATAGACTAGACTATAGACTATACTATAGACTAGACTATAGACTAGACTTAGACTAGACTATAGCCTAGACTATAGCCTAGACTATAGACTAGACTATAGACTAGACTATAGACTAGACTATAGACTAGACTATAGACTAGACTAGACTATAGACTAGACTATAGACTAGACTATAGACTAGACTATAGACTTGACTATAGACTAGACTATAGACTAGACTATAGACTAGACTATAGACTTGACTATAGACTAGACTATAGACTAGACTATAGACTAGACGATAGACTAGACGATAGACTAGACTATAGACTAGACTATAGACTAGACTATAGACTAGACTATAGACTAAACTATAGACTAGACTATAGACTAGTTCAAAGTCTGTTCTCTAGTCTAATCTGAAGTTTAATATCTAGTCTAATCTAATATGAAGTCTAATATATAGCCTATAGACTATTCTAGTCTAGAATATATCCGACTACAGTCTGAATTATAGTCTCAACTATAGTCTGATCGATACCTTTGTCTGCAGCATATTTATACTTGCTGTAGTGTGCCCCACCACTGACATCACTCACACACATTTCTTGCCCATGCCTCTCCACTCACACCATCTTAGGTAGGTAGGTAGGTAGGTTGATAGGAGGATGTATACTACATCAAATCCGAAGAAATACACCTAGGCCACTATCGGGCCTGTTGTGCGCTCCAATTCAAGAAAAAAAAAAAAAAAAAAAAAAAAAAAAAAAAAAAAAAAAAAATTGTTCACTGAATGTATTATTTTTCCATGTTCAGAAACTCAGTTTCCTGGACGTAATTCCTAAGAATCTTCCAATCGGTGTTGGTTAAGAATGTTATTTCTGGAATAACATCACTTCCAAGATACTTGGATCTAACTTCGACGAATGCCTGACAATGGCAAAGAAAGTGCTCCAGAGTTTCACTGTCCTCTCCACATGCTCTACATTCGTCTGAATTCGCACGTCCAATTTTGTATAGATGTGCTCGTAATCCTGTGTGTCCACTGAGAATACGTACCATCATACTAACCTCAGACTTGCTCATTTTGAGAAGATTTCTCGTCTTGCTCTCATCAGGGTCACCCCATAGAATCTTTGTGGTTCTACCCACCGTTTCATTATTCCAAGAGGCCTTATGGGATTCTCTCATCCATATTTTTAATTCAGCTTTTGTTGCGTCGAATGGTTTTGCGTTTGTCAGGTTAACTACATCGAGCTCCCTTCCCTTTAAAGCTATTACATTCGCCCTTTCGTTGCCGGCTACTCCCGAGTGGCCTGGTACCCATATGATGTGAACCTTACCTCTGGGAGAGTATTCAGTTAAAGCTTTCTTACAATCCAATACGGTCTTAGATTTAATTCTATCACCTGATATCGCACAAATTGCCTTCTGGCTGTCGGTAAATATATTAAGCCCTGTGGGCGCCATATTTATTCGAATCCAATTTACACATTCCGTTATTGCTCGTACTTCTGCCTGGAAGCTTGTGTTATGATTAGGTAAACGGTGGTATATTTCTGTTTCTGGGTCTTCAATATAGAACCCCAGACCCACTTTGTCCCCTAATTTAGAGCCATCCGTGTAGCAACGGATTCCTACTGGTATTTGCTCTAATGTTCCGCTTGACCAAGACATTCTATCTGGGATTAGCGTTTCAAAGTTTCCGACATATTCAGTGTCTGGTATGCGATCAGGCACGTCCGATGAATGTGTATAACCTTCCAATGTGTCCAGTATACATTGATGACGTGTCCTATAACCGTTTTTGGCCAGTTCGCCTAAAGTAAAGAGCCGTTCGGCTGTAAGCGCCGCCTCATATCTTATATATGTTTCAATGGGTGGAATATCTAGCAACGTTTCCAGGGCCTTGGTTGAAGTAGTACACATGGCACCACTTATACCCAAGCAGCATGTACGCTGAACTCCCTGTAGTAGTTTGATATTACACTTT